CTGACTGCAGCACGCCTACGCTAAGAAGATGGAGTATTAAACCAAGAAGAACCAGAAGTTGAAGGATGCTGACCAGCAATGAAGTAGCTGCCCCAATGGGTCTGGGTATATGGCAACATTGCCAACCTGGTAGTGGAGCGGGCGAAAAACTCTGTGGGGCTGGGTGTGTGGGGATAGGGGTAGGGTGCAGATTTAGACAATTGTCTGATAAAGGTAAAGCGCAAAGTTGATTGAGGAAAAGGGCATTCTGGTTTTCGGCGTTTTTTTTTTTTTTTTTAATGGGCCCAGTGCCGAAGGCTGATATTACCAATAAGAAGATTGTGGCTGGGGTCCTCACAGTCTACCCGGAGTGACGGAACTGAACATGCTGAGAACCGGGCTCAGCGTCCCTCATATGATGATGATGATTAACTTCTGCTGATTCTATGGAAGGGACCCCACAGGACGGCGGCAAACGGATTCGGAAGTCGTCGACTTCCAGCCGACTGCCCACCGCCGACGGAGATGATGAAACAGAGGGGACCCCACCGCCGCCGCAAATGTTGCTTTGGCGTCGGCAGCAGTTACCCCAGAAGGAAATTCCGGGTTGGTTTTCCTTTGTGGGAAAGGTCAGGGCCTGGAAGGCCATTCCAGGTCCCTTACCGGTGGTCGTAATGGAAGGGCGGCTGTATCTCTTGGGTGACCGTGCGGCATTCCCGTGCGGCAGCAACGGGGGAGGTGGGCAACATACCCTCCTTGGTCCTGGGTTGCAGGCCGTCCCAGCCCTATGTAGCAATGCGAACGGCTGGAACTCGGCGAACGGCTGTAGTGAACCGGTTCACAGTCCCAAAGGCGCAGAGCTGTTCACGCCGCATCCATTGTCTTCCATGCTCCTCACCGCATCGTCGTCGACTTTGAACATGTACTGGCCCTGTGGCCATCGCCGGTTGTGGTGCATCACAGAATCAATGACACCCTACAAGCTGGCGTGGCTGGGGGTTGTCCCCATGCCGGAAGACAACAGTGTCGCAAGCACAAGAGAAATTTCTCTCATTGCATCCAATCTCCACACACACATGGACAGCGGAGGAGGACATCAGCGGGGGTTTAACGGAGGAGAGGAAAACGGGGATGACTTGTTGTTCATGACTGTCATGGCAATCATGCAAGGGATGAACCGGCAGAATGCAGTCGCCATGGCTGTGCTGCAAGCTA